ATTTCTCAGGGGAAGTTGACGCCCGCGCTTCCCGCCTTCCCTGCCGGACACGCCCCGGAGCCGGGACCCCTTGGGGAGCCCCGAGTTCGTCCTCTGCGCCCCAACTCGGGCCCATCAGAGAGAGCCGCGCGTCGCCGAGACCCTCAGGGTTCCCGGGCGGAGAGCAGGTGGGCCGCGGTGTGAACACCGCAGAACGGGCTCTTCCAGCAGCTGCCCTCCCACCAGAGGGGAGGCGGACGGGACCCGGGACCCCCGGGGAGCGAAGGCGGGGAGCAAGCCTGGCCATCCCGGATTCTGTCTCCCTGCAGCGGCAGTGGGGGCGCAGCAGGTGTTGCCCATTGGGAGGAGGAAGGAGACTCAGAGAGGAAGTCATGGACTTTCTCACCAGGGCAGGGAGACCGTAAGCCGCAACCTCAGGGCCAGACCGCGGCTTCTGCACCCCTGCCTGCCTCGGCCACAGGCTCTGCCCTCGCCTTGGCTCTTCCCTGTGCCCCAGGAGGGTGCCCTACCTGCAGAAAGCCCGGGAAACTCAGCAGGGAGCTCCAGAGCTGACGCTCCCAGACTGGCAGGTGCTCTGGCAGGGGGCACAGAAAGGGAGGGAGGGAGGTGTCCACTGACTGCGAAGGCCAGGCTCTCTCCCCAGTAACTAGGAAGTGCCCAGGGACGCCCCTGCCACCCCCTCCCCACCTTGGAGCAACTTTCATTTAAAGATAGGGTCTTCCTGTGTAGCCCAGGCTGGCCTTGATCTTGTTGTGATCCTCCTGCCTCAGCCTCCCAAGTGCTGGGATTACAGGCATGCGCCACCACGCCCTAAAGAACTTGCTTAAACGCCAGCGCATCCACGGTTCCATGGGCTCCTCCAGACAGCCGACAGCTTTCCTTCCCCTTAAATCCACTTCTGGTGGTGCCGCGTTAAATGTCTAGTGTGGCCTGGCCTGGCGAGGTGGCAGAGGCCTGGGCCCAGTGTGTGGAATTCTTACCCCTCCACACATTTATTCAGAATGTTAATCTTCACTGTCTTCTCATGCTCTTATTCCTCCCTCAGGCAGCCGTGGATTGGGGGAATTCTGTTTTGTCCGGCTAGGTTTCTTGTGTGTGTGTGTGTGTGTGTGTGTGTGTGTGTGTGTGTGTCCTAGTTAGCCTGGCACCCTGGATGGACTCTGTGTCCCTCCCAGCAGCCCTCACCCCAAGCACACAGTAAGGTGTGAAAAGTCTCCTTGATCAAAAATGATCTCTCCGCCGGGTGTGGGGTGTGGTGGCACACGCCTGTAATCCCAGCACTAGGGAGGCTGAGGCAGGAGGATCGCTGTGAGTTCGAGACCAGCCTGGGCTACATAGTGAGTTCCAGGTCAGTCTCAACTACATAGTGAGACCCTGTCTCA